ATTATTTGAATCATAAAAAAATGCATTACCGTATTCATAACGTACTGCTCATGTGACAGTTTTTGAACTTTAATATTCTTTTCTGCAATGTGCCGGCTTAGCAGCCTATAAAAGAGACATATTGTTTGTAATGCTTCTTACCCACAACAAATGATGTGATTCTGGGTTTATGAAATGGCAGTAGTTTTCTAAATTTGTGATTCTTCTGTGTTCCGTCGTCAAGAACAGTTGTACATCTGCTCAGCACAGACTTTCCGAGACTATGAACTTTAATTGAGGAAAAATAATGAGGGTTCAGGGACTACTGATAAGGAGTTGGTTGCAAAGCAGGTGCCCTGCTGCCAGATCAATGGATTATTTACTCCTTTGTCATAAACAGGAAACAGTTGGTTGTTTGTGGTGACTACACGCATATTTAAGGACCATGTACATATTTTCTCCTTCCTTGTCAATGTAGAACATTTAAATACTGCTTAGTTTATGATTTAACATAACTACATAGAATAAGCAAACACTGTTTGGTCTGTTTTAATAATTAACCACCTTGTCTGAAATGAACTTTAAGCATGATTTCAAGCACACACATCATACGTGTTTCCAGCCCTTACCTCCTCAGTTCATCTGGTTGCAGTCATAAACCCTGTATATAATTGTCAAAATATTGTTCTGTCTCTCTTTAAAGACATTTGAATCTAGACAGCCTTTTTCCTGCTAAATACACAGGGAAATCTAAAACATAAAATGTTGATAGTTTAAAATTTCATAAGGACACTGAAACCATTTGCACAAGTTTTGCAAACCACCTGAACAGAATTTTATCATGATATAATTGCTGAGGGCAGTGCTAGGCTCAAAATCATTTTCTTTTTCTTTTTATTATTATTATTATTCATTTATTCACATGTGTGTACATTGTTTGGGTCATTTCTCCCCCTCTGCTCCCCTCGCCCACTCTCTCCCCTCCTCAAAATCATTTTCTGAGTGTACAAAATCATTTGATTTCTGAGCGTTTTGGAACCTTTTCTGACACACCTGAGCAAGAACAACCTGGGAGATTACTGGCCACCCATAGTGGGACTTCTCTCTTAGCCTCTCATTAACAAACCAAACAAAGAGGCTGCAAAATATCTGGAATTAGCTGCAATTTCCACCATGACAGGTGAGTTGAAAATAGTAATCCTAGGTTCTAGAGATCAGTAATTTAAATTCTAATGATGGGTCTTGTGGCATGCAAGTCTGACTTTTAACACTTAGACCTTGAAGACCATAAAAACCACACCATAAAGCTAGGTGTAGTGGCAGAGGCCTGTAATCCCAGCATTCAGGACACTTAGGCAGGAGGACCCCGCAAGTTCCCGGCCAGCCTGGGTTACCTAGGAGACTCTGTCTTGAAAAAATCAAAAGGAAAAACAAAACAGAAACCACAGCATATATTTTATACACAAGGCTCATCTATGAACAATTCTGAGCTGTCACTCAGTTCACATATACTTCGCCTGTCAACCAATAGTGTTCAATTGATCTTGTTCTTGGAAATAGTGTTCACCTTTAAAATAAATCTCTTTAATTCCTTTTAGAATTAGAATTACTGGTGGAGATCTGAATTGTTTTAGAAAATATTACCACTAGAGAGAAACAAATGTTTGTTTAAAAAAAAGAAAAAAAACTTGGCTGGATTTCTAAACTGTAAATGGTTGACCCTAAGTTAATAATGTAGAAATACATTTAACAAAAATTGATATTTGACCACCTGATTCATTAGCCTCAAAGTGTGAAAGCACATTTGTTAAAAAAATAATTTGTATTTTAGTAAATATATATTGTATATAATATATACAATATATATTTATTATATATATAATATAATAAATATAATATTATATTATAATATAATTATAATATAATATATTATATAATACAATTTATATAATGTATAAATGAATATACATTGCTCCATGATGTAATAACAGTGCATTTTTCCTACCATAAAGTGGTGACACAAATATCACTACATGTAGAAATAAAAAAATGATACTTTAATTTCTATTGATAACAAATGATTGCTCCTAGTTAAATGTGTGATTTTCAATTGAAGATTGGATTTTGTACTGCTGCTTCAGCAGCATAGGACATCTACCATTGTTAGCATCTGTACTGTTATTTAAGAATAGTTATTTTTAGATTTTTAATTCATGTTTCCTAAATGTTATGTAAAATTATTCACTGTTTAATATTTTTCTCTGGTTCTAATTGCAATAATATATGTAATTATCAGGAAAAGTTGAGTTTCCCCTCAGTACTGTAAAAAAAATGGCACATGAAATCCACTATTTTTCTAGTAAGATGGGTGGGGTTGTTAGTTTAAAGTCAACCAAATTTCCTTTGAGTACAAAAGCTGAAACTGGATTGAGATAAATTACAATTACACACAATGAGAGATGTGGTTGCTTCTTTTCTATGGTTTAAATTAAAAGATAACTTGAAGTTACTCAGTTTAAAAGAGAATACACAATTTTGTTGTCTATATTTAACTGACTTTGTAAAGAATTTCTTTGGTTCACCATGGTGAAAATGTGTAATATCAGAAGTAGAATTATTGATTCATAAAAGCATGCTTCATTCTAGACCGCAGGTGGTGGTAGATCCAGGCTTCAACATTCAACATACCATGCAGAGATGAACAGTCTAAGATGAAGTCACATCATTGAAAATTCCCTGAACAATAGACACCAGGAACAAAGTCTGTCTAAGGTCCCGGTGTCTAGACGTGAATATTGGGCCAGAATTTCTTGTCCTATGACCTTCCATGTTCAATTTGATCAAATTTGTCAAAAAGAATATAAAAAATGTGGATTATAATAGAAAACTGGTAACAACTAGGTTTTTATTCTATCAACAGAGGTAACATGTGTGACATTTTTTCCCCTTTCTAACACATATGTGCCTGAGGGATGGAGAGAACAAAACCAGGACAGGATTTGTAAGCCCAAACATGACTTTTGCAAAATTGATAGAAGATTTAAGTAGCTATTGTCAGGAGGAATTTTGTAGTGGGCGAACAAGACTGTCATCGGCAGGAACCTAAGTGTGTCTGCTTTCTTGTGTCTTGTGATGGTCTGGAAAAGTGTGTTTGTGTGTGTGTGTGTGTGCTGTAGCAATACTTGTAGCACAGCAGAAGCAACACTGAAGACAGGAACTGCTAACAGCATTTTCAGGAAAGTATTTAGTTAAATGCAAATGTGGCAAAATACTGAAAACCTTTGTTGTTTTGAAAATGAAACTTAATTTTCTAGGAAATAAAAATTATATAAAAAGGCGTTTTAAAAGCTTCATAAGGATTTTATTGACATAGTAAAAAATTATTTCCTATCTGAAGTTTGTAAGCCTACGCTAAAACCTTTATGTCAAAAATTACCCTTACACAAAGAGAAGAAAGCACACTGCATGTCTTTGAGAAATGCCATTTTCAGGATACCTTCTGATGTTTATTGGTCCCTTTTTTCTGTAAAGTTCTATAGAGAATATATTCTAATTAGCTTCCACTTGATACTACTTCCTGCGCACTGCCCACTCTGACCCAGTGTGTGATCATATAGAACACATTACAAAAGAACTGGTCATTGGAGTGCTTTAATATAGCTTTGTATTAATGTCAGACATCATTTAGACAAGGCATTAAAAGTGTTATTTTAATGACTGAAGTGTGTGGGGTAGGAGAGGCTTAATCTTTATAGGAACAACAATTTCAATTAGCTCTAAAATATTAATTTGTTAGTACCACTATATACTCTAATGTATTTGGCTACAAAACGTCTTATGAATAATACATTGCTAGAATCCACTTGTCTTGTGATGTAACTAATACTGCCTTTAAAAAAAAAACAAATAAACAAGGGTTTCTAATTTTATAGCCACCATGATTCAGTTAGAATTAAAAGGAAAAAATCTTGATCATTTTTAATGTAGAAGTTTTTTCTACCCCCTTTCCCCAAGGTAATTTGTAAGGCTATAAATAAAGTATGCAATCTCTGGCTAGTAAGATATTGAATATTTAAACATGATACGGCTATCTGTCTTAAAAATTTAAGGGTATTTTAATTTATTTGTTTACATGGTAAGTGTAAGGTATTCTCCCTGGAAACAATTTGCCTCACTGTGGAAAGTGTGAAAATATTAGAACAAAAATAACTGCATACCTTAATCCTGCTATTGTGTTTCTGGGAACTAGAAATGTTGGTGTCCTGGCTTTTACTCTCCTTGAATATCTCCCCATGGCCTTATCTTTCCATTGTGCTGGGTATTTATTGCAACATCTTGGCACTGGTTTTCATGACTGTGCTTGCAGCCCTACCTTGAGGTGAGTGAGAGCCACACAGGTAAAAACCCTGCAGTTCCTTTCAAAATACGCTGTTTTTCCCTGCACCTAACCAAAAATCTGTGACTGCTTCCATAGACTTCTCAGGGTATGCCCATACAAGGTGAAACATAGGTGGCTCTAAATTGTTTACACAGTATACACCAACATGGAGCATTTGTCTCCTAGCTTGGATAACATTTGAGTCCTGTCATGCAGCACCAAAACAACTAGATGAAAAGCAGAACCTCTGTTGGCCAGAGGTTTCATGCATCCTGACAAATATCCCCAAAGTAGGGATGATAACATTCAGATATGTTGATCTGAAACATGTATGTCCTTTCCTTAACTCTCTTAGTTACTCCCATCATCGTCAGTGGTGTAAGTCACATTTGTCCTGATTAATTCTGAAATCTGTGAAAACCAGATTTTAATATAACTCTTACACAATGTAAGACCAAAGAGGGGAGAAGGATGAATTTGAGAGCAAACAGAGCCATACAAATGCAGTTTCTAAACTAGGTAAAGGAAGCTTTTGTAGTCGATTTCATGCAGCAGTTGGCATTGGCAGTATTGCAAAAAGAGATGTATTCTGTTGTGCTCTGTTTGATCAAGTGCTAAACCCGTGTGATCAATAGAGAGACAGATGTCGGGTGCAGATGGCGATGCCGTGATACCTGGGGCAGCGCAGGCCTGCCAGAATGACAGAATGGGAACAGGGAAGAGCAGCAATGCAACAGAATGTGACAAATGAAATTAGGGTTTATTCTAGTCGATAATTTACAGCTAATACAAAGTGACAGAATTTTTCAGTACCCAGTATATTTTACTTCCAGTAATGCTACAGCCAATAAAGGCATATTTCATGCAACATAATAAAATGAAAGCTGTGGGGAAATATAGTCCAACCATTTTTTATTATGTTACAACTTTTAAAATTGATCCCTGAGAGAATACTAATAGCATACAAGTCTTGTTAGAGTGAAGTCTAAAGGCATTTTATCTGCAAATTGATAGCAGTCCCTTCACTTACTCTCATTGCATATTACTCTTATAAGTTGCAGACATATAATGCTGCAGTGACCAAACTGCAATACGCTTTGCTTTAAAAGACACATTATTAAAGGCTTATTCAGTTTGTTTATAAAACTATAAAAACAATGATTAATTTCAACTTACTAAATAAACATTCAAATTTCCCATATTAATGGGAATGTTTAAGCAGTCACCTGTGTAATTAAAAATGAAAATCTCAGCACATATTAAAACATTTCCTTCACATCCAGGACAAAAGCTATGGTTAATATATTTGGAAAGCATTTTAGAGTGTAATTCGAAATACATTGATAAACACCCTGAAGTGATAACTTTCATGATTATGGTTAATGAATCTATTGATGCTCTTTTCTGACTTAGTTAAATTCCCCATATCCTTGAATATATCTTCACATATATACTATAGCCACTTGTCAACTGTCTGGGAACCATATAGGGTGTATGAGCCGGGCCATCCCTGTACAAAACTGTGCAATGTGGTCTTTATTTTTCATCCTACTTTCATCTCCCTCCAATCCTTCTCTTAAATTCCTGGTGTTCTGCAGCTATGCCATGTGTGCTGAGTATAAGCTCCTAGAGCTGTAGTTTGGCTTGAGACCTGCACACCCCCTCACCTCCCCCATTGTTCAGACATTCACTGAGCAATAGAGTCCTACTTACTCTCCCAGGGCTTTCAGAGTCAAATCCAAATGGAACTGTAAAGCTGATTATCCGCAATCAAGCATAGGCAGAGAAGGCATCTTGATGTGTGTAGGAATTTCCTTACGCTTATATAGGTAGAGAGTTAGGGAGCAACACAAACAGCTACTTGTGACAATGACAAATACATATTGATAATATTAATGGAAGGCCAGGTGTTGGTGGGTCACATCTGTAATCCTAGCTACATGGGAGTCTGAGATCAGAAGATCACTGTGTGAGGCAAACCCAAACAAACAAGTTCACAAGACTCCATCTTAACTGAAAAAAGCTTGGCATGATGGCACACACCTGCCATCCCCCTTTATAGGAGAAAGCCTAAAATAGGAGAACTCTGGGCAAAAAGTAAGACCCTGTCTCAGAAAGAAAAATGTATTGTAGGCATGGTTCAAGTGGTAGTGAGCTTGCCTAGCAAGTGCAAAGCTTAAGTTCAAATCTCAGTACTACCAAAAATAACAGTAATAGTATTAAGAAGAAATAATTAATGCTTTCTTTTTACTGTCACATATTATTGTACAAAAGGGTTTCATTGTGTTATTTCCACACATTCATATATTGTATTTTGATCAAATTCACACTCTTTATGACTCTTATTCCTGCTTTACCCCTTTTTAAACAACTTTAATGGATTTCATGATTTTATACATGGGTAAGAAGTACTTTGATCATATTAATGCCCCCATCACTCTCTTTTTTCACCCTCTCCCCTCCCACTGGTTCCCACTACCAAACAGTCCCCCCATTTACATTCATCTCATTCAATTATTTTTAAGCCTAGACTCGCACATGAGAGAGGAAGACAAGCAATGTTTGTCCTTCTCAGTCTGGCTTATTTCACTTAACATGGTGATATCTAATTCCATTCATTTTCCTGTGAATGACATAGTTTCATTCTTCTTTACAGTTGAATAATACTCCATTGTATGGGTGTGTGCATGTTTGTGTACATGTGTGCACATATATATATGTGTCACATTTTCTTTATTGATTCATCAGTTGATGGACACCTAGACTGACTCCATAGTTTGACTATTCCATAGTTTATAATGCTAGTATAAACATGGATGTGCAAGTGTCTCTATTGTATGTTGACTTACATCCCTTTGGATATATGCTCAGGAATTCTACAGCAGGAGGAAGTCAAATCATCCCTATTTGCAGATGATTTGATCCTACACTTAAAAGACCCTATAGATGCCACCAAAAAGCTCTTCAATCTGATAAACACTTTTGGCAAAATACTAAGATTCAAAATTGACATACAAACTCTGTAAGCTGTCTATATACTAATAATGAGAAAGGAATCAGGAAAACAATCTCCTTCACTATAGCATCAAAATAAACAAACAAATAAATAAATACCTAGGAATAAACCTAAGAAAAGAGGTGAAAGATGACTACAATAAAAACAATAAAACCTTGAAGAAGGAAATTGAAGACACTAGAAAATAATTCATGTTTCAACAGACATTTCCTAAGTCATGTTTTATGAACAGCAAAGATGTAAAACATATTCTTCAGTGGAAATAATAACCAACATCTTTCGTGGGCTCAGGTAGAAGGATCCATAATGACATCACTGACGGGGCAAGATCAAGATGCCCATTGCAGTTCCGAAGATGATGGGAGTATTGCTTACCTAAGAAAATACTTGGCCACTGAAAACACACACACACATACTCATTCTCTCTCTCTCAAAAAGCTCTATTTCTACAGGTAAACTAAACATTTATAATAATTAAAATAGTATATAAATAATGTTCTATATATTTCAATGTGCATTACCCTCTTGAACATTATACTTCAGTTATTCATTTGATTTTTACCAACAAAAACTTCTTTCTCCATGTTTTAGGAGTCTCCATTATGAAAATTTTGCAATATAGTCATCAAAAACATTATATCTTTACTACAGAGACTGATTTCAATGTGCCTTCCTTAATTATTTTGATGTACCAAGTGTGAGAGTCGTTACAGAAAGCTAGAGCACTATTAAGTCTGAAAGCTTACACAGAAAGCATGCCTCAGGTACCTGGTATGTCAGGAAATGAATGGGTCATTCATGCAGGAAGAGATCCACAGCTGGACCCAGAGCCAGTATAGGAAATTCAAGTCTGACAGGAAAGGGCTTCCTGACCTACCTTAATAGGAATCTCTTTATTTGGATCATGACATCCCATTTCAAAGGCATTTTTAATATGCATTTCATAGGGTCAAGATGGAGTTTAGCAATATTGTAAGCTATTTACTAGATTCTTACTTTTTTATAGCTTATTTCTCACATAAAAAAGAACAAGTGTAGACTCACAAAAAAAACAATTATTTTGCACGCTCTAAAGACTCTCCCAAAGTTGTCTAGTAGCAGCAGCATTTATTGGCATGGCATTGTCACTTTATACCATCTGTCAAATTTGGTCTTTGAGTCAGCTGAAAGGAGCCAGAGTACCAGTCTTTTAATTTTAAAGGTGGAGAAAATGAGGCCCAGAGAAATTAGTTGGATTTCTCTCATTCACAGATCATGTGCTTTATACTAGGAAAAAAAAAAAAAACAGTTTTCTTGACTTCATCATCATGACCAAAGATAAACAGAATGCTAGCAGACCTGGGTTCTTTTACTAGAGAAGATTCATTCCTACAATATCAGCCTCATGCATTCTTCATGAGCCAGTTAGTTCATACCTCATCTTTTTTCCTCAAGCTTCCAAGTATATAGGTATTATGATTTTCTACTTCCCTATATTCTACTAGTAAGTGATACCATATGATTCAGTTTGACTCATGGATTGTTTCTTGATTACACAACGTGTGTGTGTGTGTGTGTGTGTGTGTGTGTGTGTGTGTGTGTTCTTTACCCAACTGGATAGTAAGTTCCTAGAGTCAAGGAACTTGACTTTATTAGTATCAAGAACTGTAATTCTCGTAGGCATGATAAAATGATGGATGTATTTATGCATGAATAAATTCAACCTTACATTCTTTTCATTTACCATGACGCTCTTGGCTTTCATACTTTGCTTACTGGTGCATGTAAGGAGGATGCCTCCTTAAGGTTCCTGATCATTTTTGAGAATAGTAATAAAGTTCCCTCATTTAGCCAATATTTATGTTTTCCTGCCTGTGTTGGAGATCCAGCTTCAAGGACATGACCATGAACAGCTCTGGAAGATGAGACTGAGTTGGCCGAATTCACAATCGCCAATGAATGGATATCATCCCAGGAGAGTTCCAAGGCCTAACAAGGGAGAGTTGATGCTGAACAATGGGGTCTGACCTGTTGTGAGATCAGGGAATGCTTCCCAGAGATGAATAAGAATGACCTGCAGTGTAGGGAGAGTACTGGCCACGCAAAGGGAACAGAGGATGATAAGAGCATTGTCACTGTGCATGGAGCACAGTAGAGGAAGGACAATCATGTGCCTAGGAAAGTAATTGATGAGTAAAGGAGAAGGTTACATCTTTCGGGGCCCTGCTCAGATACATCTTTATACAATGTGTGTTTGCTCAAAAATTAAAAAGAAGGCAAAGCCATGTGCTATGTCAGTAGTACTGACCCTTCCCTTAGAGCACTTCTGTATTAAAGCCACTTAAATGGTTGTGTACATACCTGAAGCCTCAGTCTTGTAAGTTATTGCGTTTAATTAGTCATTAACTCTGATTTATATCTAAAATAAAGGAAACATAAACTTAAATGTGCTTACTGTCTAAAAACTTTGGGTCCAAAGTAGAAAATTATCTAAGAAAAATTATAGTATATATACCAAGGCTAGGATGTATGATTTTTATTTCACAGTATAGTTTGACATTTCTTGTTTTTAAGTATTTTTTAGGTTTTTTTTGCTCTTTTTTTAAAGCAAGAAACTGAAACTTCTTTATGGACAGTATTATAAAAAGATGCATTTGAAAAAGAACAAGTCTAGTTTTGAAAGGCTGTGGCCATTTTCAGATAATATTTTTAAGCAAGGAATAATTTCAGTTTAAAACAGGAACA